CAAAAGGGGAATGTAAATATACTTTACTAACCATTTTGTACAACAGAATATTAAAACTTATCAAAGTTTTAAAAAGGTTTGGCGTTAGGTCGTAGAATAGCATTATAAGTTTATTTATCGATAGTATTAAGTACAGTAAAGTTTAGTCCTAACTAAACTGAAGTAAAAAAACGTACACAGGTTACAGTGTTAATTTATCTCTTTATCGAACTTAGGCCTAACATAAGTTAAAGTTTTATAAAGTACGGCCTATATACAAGTGGATTTACACATTTCGTTGTCTACGATTACAATCCGTTTGTATTGTGCTAGAAATGTTATATTTAAAGAAGTACTGTTACGATAAAGATACTAATTTAGCCAGAAATTTTTTGCGGGTCTCTGCTAGTTACGTATAATAGATTGAAACGCTTCATTTATATTTTTCTCGTACTTACTATTCTTTATCGAAGAGTGAGTTGTTGTTTTTTACTAGGATACTAATGCAAAGCGGTAAAAAATATAGACATTTTAAGCTAAACCTTTTTCAGAATGTAAGTGTTTGTGAGTTAAATGATTAGCAACTTTAATGGAGTGAGTCAATAGTAGTGTTGTTTGGTATGACCTCGTCTCCGGGTGGTTTAAAGGCAAGCTTGAGGGCTTATAATGCTTAAAATCGAAGTTCGATATTTCCTTAGGGCACAACACAAAGAGCTTATTTATCTTTGTATTTGAACATGAACAAACAAAATAGATAGGTCAAGTAAATGATCGTAATTACCTTGGAAATTTCTTCTTTTTTGTAACTGATCGGTATCCCACCATTTTAGTTGTGTAGTTTTAATTTGATCAGTGTGATTAGAATAATATCGAGCTGTTGTTGTTGTCTTAATTCAAAGCTACACAGTGTGCTACCTGCACTTTGTCCACGGCGGGGAATCGAACCCCAGATTTTTAGCTATATAAGACCGTAATCTTACCGCTGACCCACAGGAAGACAATCATAAACTATTGAAACATCCCTAAGCATTAAAATTTGTAGGATATAGAATTCAAGCAATTCGAAATTGAACTACTGGGTCACTTGAAACTTTTGTTTTGTAGAGCACGTTCGGTTTCTTGGAACAAACTTTTCTTGAAAAACAAGAGAGGTCTGAAGGATGGCCGGTCAAACAGCCACACTCCAAAAGAGGAAAGCCATCTTCTCCTTCCTCACCCCATCACAGTGTAGTAGAGTATCTTATTCCGTCCAGAAATCTAGGCTAACGAGGACCCTGTTAAATCACGAGTGTTTCCAGGAAGGACAAGTTTTTGGAACAATGGAGAAAGGAGGTAAAAACTGAGCTACGGAAATAGAATAACGGAAAGATAAATTAATTTCCGTTTAAATTTTCTCTCTGTATCAGAACATTTGTATTGTAGTGACTGTATTGAGACAGTATTAAAATACCCTGTGTATATCCAAATAAGACTAATTAATACAAAAGGATCAAATTGAAACCATTTGTGTCGCGAAATGTTAATAAATCTATCAGTTTTCTACGGCCTGGCCAAATTTGGCCAAATGGTTAGAGAACTCGGACTGTGAATCCGAAAGTTCATAGTTCGTGGCACGTTGCTGCAAACAAGTGCTCTGCACTTTTAGGTAACAGGTGCGCTATAACAGTAATGGACAAAATTCCAATATTTGTTTACGGGTTTACGACCGAAAATATGGTTAACAGCGAGCGTACTCCACTGATAAAACAATGTATTCTAATCTTTATAAGTTAGAAGAAAAGAAATTTAATTATCTGTACTGATTTCCAGGTTTATTTTTAAGTTAGCTCTTAAAATACACAGCTTCTTCTAATCGGAAGTTATTATCATTTACACAAGAGTAGCCCAAAAGTTGACGATACATATATTGACTGACTGCCTTCCATCTAGTCTATCAGTTCCAAATTAGCCCTTTGTGTAGCTTTGCACGAAAATTTTGAAAAATATAAGTCAACTCCCCATTGTCTAACAAACCAGCTTATTTCAAAGTGTACTTTGCTCGCGATTTTAAATTTCACTGTATGAAAATTGAATAAAGAAATAATATATAGTAATATGATCTTCTTTGTTAACTTTCATTAATTACGAAATTCAGTTTACGAAATTCAGAAAATGAGACTAAGAGATATTTAAGAGACAAACAAAATACATAAATGAATCCAGACTTCTTAACTTAATTTACACTAGTTGTTTCAATATTAACTTTCGATACCAATAGCCAGGCTGGTTTTATCTGTAGCAAATAACTTTGTTCTATTTATCATATCTTGAACACTAAATATCTCTTTTAAGAATTTCCTTTTTTCAATGTCCCAGAAGGGCTTGGCATGGTCTGGTGGTTAGGTCTCGTCTCACAACTTGAGGATTATGTATTTGAATTCCATCATCAAACATACTCGCCCTTTCAGCCATGGGAGCGTTATAATGTGATGGTCAATCCCATTATTTGTTAGTAAAGATAAGCCCAAAAATTGGCCTTCTCTCTAGTATATTACTTCAACATTATGGACACATAGCACAGATAGCCCTCGAATAGCTCTGCGCGATAATCGAAACAAACAAACAGGTTTGGTATGTTATGAATTTCGCGCAAAGCAACATGAGGGCTATCTGCGCTAGCCTAATTTAGCAGTGTAAGACTAGAGTGAAGGCAGCTAGTCAACTCTTGGACTACTCTTTTACAAACGAATAATAGGATTGACTGTCACATTATAATGCCCCCGCGACTGAAAGGGCGAACATGTTTGGTGTGACGGGGATTCGAACCCACGACCCGCAGCCTGCGAGTCGAGCGCCCTAACCACTTAGGCCATGCCAGGCCCACAAGCAAACCGACTGTCCTATAGTTAAAATAATGTTACTGGTGTGTAAACATATTATTCGAATCCCCAAAACACTTTTGCCATATCAACTAACGGTGAATGCTACCATACAGAAACACCACCTCAATATGGTGATCTAAAGACGGTTTTTTTCATTAGCAGACGGTAACTGTCACCACACAAAAACACTATCTCAGTATTCTGTTGGAAACGTTTCAGGCAAAGGATGATATGTAGTTTCTGTCTATAAACTCTTGGCCGAAACGTGACATTTTCTGCCTCTCTCAGCCTTCTTTGCTTTTAATAATGTTACTACACACGAATTGGATTTAAAAGTAATTGCTCATTTGGCTGTTCAATTATGATATTCTAAAAGTTGAACAACAGATTTTAAAGTTTTAACACTTTTTGCAAAAATGGCAGCCTATGTGACGTAACAGTTATGTTCTAAAATATAAACTATGAATACATATTTTTTTTTACAGTGATGTACCCTATCATTCATCGCAAGGAAATTCAACCCAGCTATAACAGTCAACCCATAAAGTTACTGGATCCTTCTACACTTGGTGACGATTATATTCTTAAACAAGGTTAGCTTTGATCTTATACATAATTCTTAGACACTAAAAAATGGAGAAAACTTGACTTCCTTTGTTTTACCGCAACTAAAACAAGCAGCAACAACAGCAGCACAAAAATCAAATCAAATCTTCTTCAATTTTTTCTTGTTTAACTTTACTCACTTTTACATCTTTACAGGGTTTTTCACTTATATACAGCTTGGCTCTTCTTTTTATATCACATCCTTATAGCTAACCCTTTATTTTAATTGGATTATTTTTGGTCAGATATCACTACGTTTTTGTTTTAATTATTGCTATTTCTAAAATTAATTAAAAATAAGAAGTCGAACCCTAGTCATCAAGAGAAGTTACAAATAAAGATGCATCGTATTAGACCACTACAAAATTCCCTCATTTCGCAGTTTCCACCCGTCCCTAGATCCTTCAGTTAATAGGCTTATGCTAATGGCTGCTGAGACCTATTTGGCATGAAAATTATAGACAAAAATCTTAAAACATATTAATATATGTGCTACTATTGTCAAACTCTAGTTAAGATTAATATCGAACAGGGTAAGTTTGTTTCGTGCCCGTCTTCCTCGAACAGGGTAAGTTTGTTTCTTGCCCGTCTTCCTCGAACAGGGTAAATTTGTTTCCTGCCCGTCTTCCTTTATTTACTATACGTTGGACAACAAGGAGAAGAAGTAGAACGATAACTTTATCACTTCTTGACTACTTATTTCTCCTAATCTAAAACAGACCTGAAGCTGCTTTTTATTAATGTGATGTGAAAGTATTTAAGTCTGTTCAGAAATTTAAGAACAGTGGTTTTTCTACCATTTGGAACAGCTGTGGCAACACTCCAGATTTGGCCAGAATTTCGGCCATATATATACAGAGTCCCGGCAGTGATATTCCGTTCTCACCACTGTTTTTATGCAGTGTTTTATGCTATGAAGTACTTTAATTTACTAAGATTATTATGTACACGTAGAGAGTTTTAAATCAACACAAGAACTGTGCGTTAAACAATGTTGTGTTATTTCGTTATCCTATAATGATTGTGTTGTTTTTAATTGAATTTGTGTTGTAACCAAACAATCGACTTATGTTCCACAAGTTTTTAGTGTGTCGTTGTATTCCTTTTTTTAATTAAAATAATCTCAAATAATCGTTATTTCTTTAGCATTTTCTATTTTTCGCTGCTGTTTGCACTAAAATTAAATACTAGACTGCTCATTTATGTGCTGTCTTTTAAATTTTTACTTTGCTCTCTAAAAATACTTCTCGTGAGTTGAAAATATTCAAAACAAACAAACTGGTGGCCGACTTTATTGCATACATTTTTAACCATGTTGAATGTACTACAATAAGTATTTTAAGAACACTAAATTACCTTTTTATAGTAATACTAATAATCTAATATAATGATAATTTTAACACTATTTTTAAACAGTACTATTTTTAAGAACACATCTACTTATTTTTTAAATGTTTTATTTAGTTATACAATGTGTACAAATAATCACGTTGTACATGTAAACCACTATTCATAAATGTAATTTTTAAGGAAAAATATTCAAGCTTTAAAGAACAAAATCAAGTGTTACCTAGTTACTGGTGTGATTTGGCTGTGTATCCTAGGGTTCATGACCCCTTTTCGCAAAACGCGCTGCACACTTTGGAGCTGTGGGTCTGATTTGAATTTTGAGCAAGTTACATCTAGGGCTACCTGCACTAGCCGTCCATAATTTAGCAGTGAAAG